ATTCAAACACACAATCATTAAACGAAACCCTTCATGAATACAAAAATCATCTAGAGCATGAAAGATATGCAAAACATATGACACATTATAAAGAAGAAATATCTGTCTCTGAATCTTCAGAAAGCCTTTGAGACTGAAAAAACCACCTAGCAAGAGAAGTTTACGCTTTCTATCATGCAAATAAAACTACTGAAGAAACCGAACAATGTAGAACTGCCCAAAGACAAGTATATACTCGCCGTATTGTAGTTGAAACTATTGAAGAAGCTGAGTGTCGCAGAAGTGTCCAGAGACAAGCACATGTATGATGAAGCCGATTTACGTAAAAAAAAACAGAATGAAGCTAAGTACAATATCTCTAATACAGCACGTATTGAAAATTATGATACAAATACTGTATGTCAACATAACATTGGACGTATAAATACAAGTCACTCTCGTTATAGTGAACTCTCGATATAGTGAAGATCTTGATATAGTGAAGAATTTTTTTTTTAAATTCATTGCTATTATTATTAATTCTTCGCTTGATATAATAAAGTTTATATAGTATTTTCTCGATATAAGCTATAGTGAAGATTTTTTTTTTCAGCCCGATCACTTCACTATAACGAGAGTGACTTGTATTTGTTGCCCAGAATGCAAAGCACTGTATTGGATTGAAGAAAAGTTGCTGAAACAAAAAAATTACCAATTTTTAGCAACTGTTGTGTAAAAAGCAAAGTACAACTACCTGATATTTCTCTACCACCTCTACTTTTGCATGCTCTTCTAACTGAGAAAAATGCACTGGTATGCGATTTTTAACAAAAGATTCAGATGTATAACTCTGCACTTGCATTTACTTCAATGGGTGCCAAATTTGACAAATGTGTTATTGGAACTCAGGGTGTTTATACTTTTTGAATTCACAAAGAATTGTATCATCGTATTGGATCTTTTATAGCAAAAAATCAAGATTTTTCGTCATTTAGTCAAATTTATATGTTTGACACAAATGAACAACTTCAGAAAAGACAACAATTAATATCAGACTTTAATTCAACGATACTTGCTTAACTCCAAGCGATGTTGACATACAGTATTTGTATCATAATTTTCAATACGTGCTGTATTAGAGATATTGTACTTAGCTTCATTCTGTT